GTGCCAATAATCGAGTTTAAGAGTTGTGACAATATTTTTATAATTAACGACCTACACTTTTAAAATTTGTATTCTTTAATAACGGTGCACACACACAAGGATCTTACAACATGATACAATGCATCGGTAAGATTGTGTAATGTCGTGTTTAAATAAACAATTCTTGTTATTGCTTGTTGCTCTTATGCTATGACTTTGATTTGTTATTCATGAAGAATACAAAAGAGATGAGAATACGTTACGACAACTTGGTAATTTAAAAATTAAAATCGTATAATAAAATTGCACATATTATTCCCTATCTCGAAGTTTTATAATTTCTTTCCTTTTCTCCACGCCTCGATTGTGAATAAAACGTTGCCTATAAGGTGACTAAACAATTGTTTTCACGAAATATTATTGTACTGAATCGCATCGTCATCTACAAAGGGTTGCAAAATTTGAACTCGTTGGCTTATCAAGAAATAAGTTAAAAATCATCGTCAATGCTTGTATTATACGTCAAACATAGTTCATCAAAAGGACGAAAATCGTGCTCCATAGGGGATCATGTCGGTACGATTAATTTTCAATGGTCAATGAAATTTGAACGAAGCTTTCAACGCATTCAAAGTAGGTACAAATATTTGAGCTGCATATACAGAAAATTCTATCGGTGATTAAATTGCCCGAAAGCAGTGTGCGCGCTTTTAGAGGGGATCATTTTTACCCGAATAATATTTCGTTAATCGTACTGCTATCCGACTTTGATGAAGATTAATTAAGCGTTATAATCCGAGAAGATTCCCGTCGAGCGATTCGTGAATTATCTTGAACAAATTAGGTAAGATAAATGTGATATGTGTAACATTTGTGTTCTACGATTCGATTTCGATTTGTAGAAATCGAAAAACTCTTTGGATTTATTGTACAATTAAATAGCAGTGAGCACCGTCATGGAATCGTCATTTCGCGGTAAAAATAATAATATGTTGAATACAATAATATAGGGTGAATCCGATAGAAAGAAGTTAAAAGCATCATTTTTTATTTTCCTTATACTTCCAACAAATCGAAATTTTGCAAAAATTTGTTTAGACATTATCTAGTAGGCTACTATATTGTGTCATCTTCTTCATATCAATGCACTAACCCTTCTTGTTCATTATAGCTAATAGTGAAATTTAATACGGAACGTTTCATTTTGATAGGTTTCAAATTTGTAATTTACAACGATTGAATTTTTATAGAGATACATTTATGGGAATCGTGTTCAATAAATTTGTTTTATTGGACTTGTTTTATTAAGTTAAGAAACCTTACATATGGTTAACATTTACGTAAAATTTGATAGAGTAATAAATATCCGTCTTAGTAAATATGATACATTTTATTAAATTAAAGGTTCGAATTATAGTGAAACATATAACATATTGTTTACATTGCAATATTGTTTCATTCAGTACACATGATAAATGAAAATGATAAAAAAAATTATAAATCATAAAACAGAATTAGTATCTTTTTTTTGTTGACACGATACAAATCTTTATGAAGATTTAATACAACCAAGAATGTACATCTAGGTATCACGTTTCTTAACTTTTATCGGTAATATGTATATGTATTATGATCAAAATAGTTGAAAATCTAAATAATTATAAGCTTGTTATTTTTATGAAGGAGTATAAAACAGTTGCTGTTAGTGCTTCGCAAACCTAGCGTTAAGAATGGAAAACATGATAAGTCAATATCAACAATGTTACACAGAACTATAAAGAGTGAGCAAAACAATATCTAACACGCGCTCATAAAATGAAAAGAACAGTAAAACACTAGCAGCAGGCTTGGCTAAATTCAATGAAATTTATTTTGTTCCTATTATCGAAAGTATTATGAAATGATATTACTGCTCTTTTAGAATATACGTGATTTTTCGTTTAGTACTCGCAGGTGCACGACAACCAGTTTTTATCGTGGGATTTTTAGGGATTGCTTTGGAGTGCACTGCGGAGGATCAAGGGAATGCATGTTCTATTCGTGCAGGACCACATGTGTACGCATGATCGACTGTGATCGATCGTAGCTCGATTTTTTTCCACTATAAAAGCCCTCAGGCTCGTGAAGCCCTAATCACCCCAGACTCTACGGCCAAGAGGCTCAACAAAATTCGCTGTATTGCCGAGAGTTTTCTTGCGAAAGTAGCACCAAACACGATATTATTCAGATCCTCTATCGTCGCAATCACAGAACATCGGACGAAGTAAAGGTATCTTGGTCATCGAAAAACATCGAAATATCTTCCTCGATTTTCGCGATACGAAAGATGTGCAAAGTGAAGTTAAAATGATTTCGAATGATGAACGGAGAACGAAAAATTTGTCTGTTTTTACGTACACTCGCGCCGGAAAGTATGTTAAACTTTACAAACGGAATAGCTGTTTTAAAATTGGTCCAAATGACTTGAATTTTTTTTTAGATGTTAGATTGACCAGTTTTCGAGAGAATAAGTATATAAAATTTTTTTTAGGTTATAGTTGATTGGGATGTTAGAAAAAGATTGAAAAATAATATTTTCTCGACTATTTTATTAGTGTCTATAACGGAAATTTAAAAAATGCGTTTCATCGATCTCGGCAATTACATGTTGAAAATTTCATTGAAATCGTTTGACGTTGTTAGGAGCTGTGAACATTTCAAATTCGTGAAAAATCGATCTAGAATTTTTGTATTGAGCACTTAGGTTAGTTGGGTATTAAGTAATTAGTTGGTACATATTATATTGGTGGCACATAACGTAGCAAATGATTCATCTATGGATTTTCTTAAATCATGCAATAATATAATATATATATAATAATATAATATAATATATATATATATATATATATATATATATATATATATATATATATATA